AGCTAACGGTTATTGTTCATTAAAGAGATCGCAAACACGTAATGGATAGTTTTATGAGTCGATCTAATTGATGCAAACATTATTTGACTATTGACTCTTTGTAGTTTTTATTACAATTACGATAAAGTTGCTGTCGCCCGCAACTTTATCTGTGCGGAATTTAAAAAATAACTTTGTAGCCTATGTGTTCATCCAGACTTATGTTCTATATTTATGCCAAATTACAGCAAGATCCGTTAAGCCGTAGGATACCTTCAAACAAACATACATCTATATATTTGCATATAATTGAAGTGCGCACACGCAGTAAATCAAGTTGGGTTTCCCGTCAATCAGCAACTTTTCAGTTATGAAGATTTACGTTGCCTTGGGTACGAAGGTTCTATGTAAAAATGTTTGGAATTTTCTCTTTGTATAATTATTAGTGCAAATTATTTGGTTAAATGAGAATTTAACTTTTGAGTATTTAAAAACATAACAAAAATTTGTTTCGCGGACAAAAAAAAACAAGATATGAAATATTAATTTTCTAGGAAGTACAGATTTTCCGAGAATTACACGAACACAGTTAATGCCAACGAAGTTTCCCGAAAAGTAATTGTTCTTTTGTTCAATTACTTTTAATACAAGCTTTCTGAGAACCAGTAATATATGTTCAGCTTAAAATTTTCCACGTAATAAGTATTTAATGTAAAACGAAATTCCTGGAAAAATTCAAAATATTTTAATGCATGTATCATTATTTCTATCTTCATAAGATGACCATAATCTGTCTTACTTCTTACTAATATTATAAATGCGAAAGGCTAGATAAATGGATGTTTGTTTGAAGGTATCTCCGGAACAGTTGCATGGATCTGGCTGAAATTTAGCATTGATATAGAACATAGTCTGGAAGGCTACTTTTTAAGGTTTTTTTTTATTCCGCGCGTTACTTACATTTTTAAAACCACTATACAAATAAACCATTACTCACTCTGCATAGTCTGTATTTCTATTCATATAAAACTTATTTCATATTTTCTATCTTATTAAAAGTCAACATAATTTAATAATTTAATAATTTTAATAATTTTTTTTTTTTATTTGCATAGACACACACAATATTACATAACAGTTTAGTTTACAAATTAAAAAAAACAAGTTTCAGAAATATTTTAACACATTAGTTGTTACCATTCCAAATAAGCTAGAAGCTTGTGCTAGGACATGGTTATCTACTAGACCATTAGGCTATTGTCGCTTGATTTGATGTTATATCAGTGCGCACCCGCTTACAAATTTTAGGTGCTGTTATAAACTAAAGAAACGTTACAGTGGTGTTAAAATAAAAAATAAAAATAAAAATAAAAAATGGAGAAAGTAGGGAGAAAATACTACAAAAATATTAAAATATTAAGGCCAAATTGTAAATAATTCCTCAGTCTCTTCATAGGTTAATTCCTGCGAGTAGCTTTTAACTGTTCTTTTGCACTTTAGATAAGGAAGGGGATATATATTACAAGCTTTATTGATGGTGTTGTAGAGGTGGCAGCTGATGCTCGGGTAACTACGGCTTGCCAAAGCAGTTTTGGTTGTGACAGAAGGGCAAACCATATATTTACGTCTTTTGTTCTTGAATGACGCTGGTTGATAGGAAAGTGTAGAGTGTACACGTAAGGTGATGTTTAACGCACATAGCTGACGGACTGTGAGTACCGAAATGTCCTTATACAGCTGGGTAGTCGGATAATGATATGGTTTGTGGAGCATGACTTTCAGAACAGCTCTTTGTGCCCTCTCAAGCCGAAGTAAATATGTTTTATAGGTAACGCCCCA